GTCTATAAAAAGGGAAATAAAAACAACCCAGGAAACTACAGACTAGTTAGTTTAACTTCTGTGCCAGGGAAGATAATGGAGCAAGTAATTAAGGAAATCATCTGCAAACACTTGGGCACCTGGGCCAAATCCACAGCTGGTGTAAATCACTCCATTGACTTCAGTGGAGCAGAGACAATTTACACCCTCTGGGGTCTGTCCCGCTGTGTCTTGCCTGGTATATACAAGAGCCAGGACGGGGCTGAACCGAGGTCCCTTGCCTGTGCCTGGGGGAAGTTCTACGTGAGGGTCAAAGATCCTGCCAGCACCCACCCACAGCAGCCCCACCCCAGGCTGTAATGTACTGATGATCTGTGTGTGTGTGTGTGAGTGAGAGAGAGAGAGCCTCAGTATAATGACACACTTTGTTCTGCTCACCCAACACTCTTCCTCCAGGTGCTCACACCAAGACACTCCCTCTCCAAAGTGCTCCCCTTAACCAGCCCCCACCATGTTTTCACCACAAACTGCTCCCTGCAGTGCTCACATCCCATCCCCAGATGCTCACGCAAACACACTCCCCCGGCAGGTGTTCACCCTAAACTCCTTCCTCCAGCTGGATACTTGTAGAACGGTTCCCCTCCAGGTACTCACGGAAAAGCACTTAACCCAGCTGCTGAACCAAAACCACTTCCCCCCAGGTGCTCACACTGAATTCCTCCCCCTGAATTCCTCCCCCTGGCTTCTTACCTCAAACCAATTCCTCTTCTGGGTGCACCCTAACCACCCTCCTCCACAGGTGCCTGGCATTAGATCAGGGGTAGGATCAGTTGTGCGGGAGACAGAGCTAGGCGTGATCCACTTCGGGAAAACCCCATAAGCCTGGTCTCCTTACTATCCTCACCCTGACTTCAGATACACTCTGAGCAACAGACTTAGCGATTGACCCTGTGGCACCCCATGTGTGAGCGCCTTGGGGCCGGGCTCCCCAGAAGGAACTGCCAGTGCCAAAGTTTTTGCAGAGTTGGAAACAATCATGATTTTACCCCAAGTCTTGAGATATTTGCAGTTTTAATTAAAGCCCCAGCTCCCAGAGCCACATTTGCAGTTAAATAAAACGTATGTTTCAGTCTCTCTGGGTTGTGGAGAAAACCTCAAAACAACCAAAGGCAGATCCCCCCCCCCCCCGCCCCCGAATGTATTATTTAAAAAAAAAAATCTTTAATTTTCAAGGCCTGACTTGTGATTTTTGAACACAGGATTGACGATGCTGCAGAGAGGTCAGGCTATAAAAGAGATTGGATTTCCTGGTGCACATCAACATCACTCCATTGACATCAATGCTGCTATATCGGGATGCTTAATTTTTTTTATCAACATTTTTCATAAAAATTGCAGCTTCATCACTTACTAAGCTGGGCCCAAGCAAACAATATGCCTTTTAATGCAGCCAAATGTAAAGTCATGCATCGAGGAACAAAGAATGCAGGCCACATTTACAGACTGGGGGACTCTATCCTGGGAAACAGTGACCCTGCAAAAGACTTGGGAGTCCTGGTGGGTAATTGCTGAACATGAGTTCCCAGAACAATGCTGTGGCCCAAAGGGCTGGTGCAATCATTGGCTGCTGTAACTTTCTGTTCTCTGGGCTAACCAAGGACTTTCCAGGCTGTGTTCCAGACTTCTCATAAACTCTGCTGCCTTTACCACACTGGCTGAGAGTCACTGCACATTGCCAATTTTGTAATATTTAAAAACTGGACACTCCAGCAGGTGTGCTGGAACCTCCCCCATCCCATCCCTTCCCCTGAATCCTCACCCCTGTTCACTCCTCTGCCTCCCTCTCTCCTTTGCTCACTGCTTTTCCCCTCTCCCCCTGCCTCTCCTTAACTCTTCCCAGGTGGGACAGACTCACTTGTGGAGCCAGAGCTGGGAGCTGCAGCCACCTGATGCTAGCAGGAGGTGGCCCCAGCTGAGTAGGGGCTGGTGTAGTTGATTGCCTCCACACCTCCCCTGCCTACAGTAACTGGACTTTGGCTGTCCGGTCTGTAGATCTGACCAGACACTGTCAGGTCCCCTTTTCGACCGGACATTCCTGTCGAAAACCAGGCACCTGGCCACCATACTGCACATGGTGAAGGTGGGGGTGCATTGCTCCCTTTGGGTGTTCAAGTCTCTCTCAAGTGTCCAACTCAGGTGGACTCGCCGAAGCGAGCTCATGGTGCACAGTGGAGTGCTTAAGGCTCCGAGGTTCGGTCTAAGAAGGTGGTGAAGCCAAGAGGCTTACCGTAGTGAGAGTGTGACCCTAAAACGGGTCTGGGGCACTGAAGGGATCCTCCCAGGGACCGGTCCAGAATTGATCAAGAGCACCTTGTGACGGGTTGGATCACAGAAACCCCCTTGGGAGCTGCCACCCGATGTGCAAAGACTACCCCTGCTTCTGCTTTCCCTGCCAGCTCAGGACTCCAGCACCCTGTCTTGCTGAGCCAGACACTCCC